TTGCTTTATTTGTTGTCTCTGGTCCCCATTTTCCTTTCTCCTCTTCTTCCTGTCCCTTACGCGGTGGAGCTCTATGGAGCTGGACAAACCTCTCCGTAGACATGACAGCCAATACCGCACTCTTTAATAGTTTTTTATTGAGATATAATTCAGAAAGCATAAAATTCATTCTGTAAAAATGTAGTGATTTTTAATATACTGATAGGGTTGTAAAACCACCACATTATCTAATTCAAGAACATTATCATCACCTTTGTAACCCGTTAGCAGTTGCTTCCTACTCCTCACATCTCCACCTGCTGACAACGACTGTTCTCCTTTCTATCTCTATGGATTTGTCTGTTCTGGATATTTTGCGTATGAAATCATGCACTCTGTGGTCTTCTGTGTCTGGCTTCTTTCACTTAGTCTAGTGTTTTCAAGGTTGTTCATGTTGTTGTATGTATCAGTACTTCTCTACTTTTTATAGACGAATAATATTCCTTTGTATGTATATATACATGTTGTCCATCTACTCACTGATTTATGGACATTTGGGTTGTCTCCACTTCTTGGCTATTGTGAATAATGCTGCTATGACCATTTGTGTACAAGCTTTAATGTGGAAATATGCTGTCAATTTCCCCGGGTATATACCCAGGAGTGCAGTCACTGAGTCATATGGTAACTCCATGCTTAACTTTTTGGAGTAACCTTTAGACTGTTTTCCAAAGTAGCTGTACAGCCCAGTATCACTTTGTAAGGTTATTCATATATGCATTTCTAAAATAATTGCCAAAATAGCGTTTAAAAATCATAAATTATCTTAAACACATAAATTTGTCAAATTTATTTTAAATTTGAAAAGATATGCAATATAATCATTCATTCTCTAATTAGACAATTTAAAAAATTAATTGGCACAAGTTTCAACTTGAACAATTAACATCAGCTTCCTTTAATCTAATCAGAGTTCTCTGAAACTGTATTGAATAACATCACTTAGAGATACACCAGGACTCTACATATAAGACCCCCAGTGGGTGTGGATCTGGGGAGGTGGTTTCCTGCCTCTCTTCCCCTGACCCAAACATGAATCCATGATGGACCCTGGACAGGAAAGTGGAGTGAGGGGCATACAGGCGAAACTAAGACATGACATTTCCACATGAAACTTGATGACATATCAGAGACTAAATCGGAAATTGAGCCATTTAGGAAAAGTAGACCTGGTATCACTGACTCCAAATCAAATTTCCGTTTTTTTGTTTTTTAATATATTTTATTGATTTTTTACAGAGAGAAAGGGAGAGAGATAGAGAGTTAGAAACATCGATGAGAGAGAAACATCGATCAGCCGCCTCTTGCACATCTCCGACTGGGGATGTGCCCGCAACCCAGGTACATGCCCTTGACCGGAATTGAACCTGGGACCCTTCAGCCCGCAGGCCGACGCTCTATCCACTGAGCCAAACCGGTTTCAGCCAAATTTCCGTTTTTTAGAAAAGAATATTCTCAAGAATATTCTACAGCTCATTCCTTGTACAAAAGTCTTGGGAATGTTCAGTTGCATTACTTCCGGTTACTTCCTCACTCAGAGATGAACAGGGCTCAAGCACAGAAGGAGGAAACCTCATGAAAGGAAGGACAGTCCTCAAGAGAGGTGTCTCCATCTTGCCGGCAACTTGGCTGAGCGTCAGGTCTGACTTCTGAGGGAAAATATTCTCCTTGGATGCGGAGGACCTCAGTTATATCCCAGTGAATGCCGTCCACACCCCACCCCACCCCATTCCCAGGGACAAAGGATCGCACACCCAAATCTAAGGAGTTCAGAGGCACATTAAAAAACACACATAGAAACCCTCAGGTCTCTTCTATCAGGAGAAAGCCAAAACCTTCAGGGCTGGGGAGAGTGATGTCCTCAGAGCTCCTCTGACACCCCCTCTGTGTCTGTCTCCAGGTGACTCCGGGGGGAGCAAGAAAGGAGGGAAGAAGAAGGGCTCCTCCTTCCAGACCGTGTCGGCGGTGTTCAGGGTGCGTGTTCGGCCCCTTCCACGCTCAGCTGTGGTTGTTTTGCCCAGTGAAACATTTGCTAAGGTAACTGTGCTTGTTCTGGTTTCTGCCCCAGGAAAACCTAAACAAACTGATGACCAACCTGAGGAGCACTCACCCTCACTTTGTACGATGTCTGATTCCCAATGAAACCAAGACTCCTGGTGAGTGCGAATCTCCCAGAGCAGAGCTCCCTGAAACGTATGCAAAATTCTGAGGGTGTGAGCGCACACATGCGTGTGTGTACGTGTGTGTGTGTGTTCATATCCACCGCTGTGTCCCTGGGGAAAGCTCTCTAGTCTTTGTCACTTCTCTAGTTAATCTATGAAACAGCTGCCAGATTTGGCAAATAAAAGCACCAGACACCCCTCGAAATTTGAACTCAGATAAACAATGAGAAATGTCTTAGTATAGCGATGACTTATGCGATATTTGGGAAGTACTCATACTAAAAATATATTCCCTGCTTATCTGAAATTCAATTTCAGCTGGGCACCTTGTATGATTTATCAGGCACTCCTACTATGAAATCACATCCAAAGTATTGGATATACATGCATAGATAGATGAAATCCATAACTTTCATAAGGTTCTTCAAGGGCTCTGCTGTTACCTTTCCCCGAGAATGAAGAGCCACCAGAACTGACAAGTAATTCTCTTAGGTATCCCATAATACAATCAACATCAATCACAGCTGTTTCCTGAGCCTAGACCAGTGGTTCGCAAACTCATTAGTCAACAGAGCCAAATATCAACAGTACTTCTTCAAAATAGACTGGCCCAGGCCGACAACCGACTTCTGCGCATGGGCCACGAAGTTTCAATCGCACTGTACGTGCTCCCGCACGTGGTATTTTGTGGAAGAGCCACACTTAAGGGGCCAAAGAGCCGCAAGTGGCTCGCAAGCCGCAGTTTGACGACCTCGGGCCTAGACTGTATGTCAGCCACTTCATTACACTGCCTCTACTGCTTACCACAGTTCTCTGCAAGAGGAGTAATGATCTCCATCTTACAGAAGAGGACACTGAGGATGAGACCACGTGTACCGGGGACACTGTGCAGCCCAGCAGACCCTCCACCACACCCAGCCCTGGAGTCACAAATATTCCCATAGTACAGCTGTGTTTCAGGGTCGTTTGTCACAAAGGGGAAAACAAACCGTCACATGGAGGTGTGGCTACAAGGTAGCTCACTCCTCAGTCAAGCTGTTCTATCCAGAACATGGGTTTCTGGCACATGAGTAACCTCCCTGCTTTGGCAACATTGCAAGTAAGCAGAGAAATTAGATGGTGGAGAAAAGAAATCCCAGCTTCATCTGCTCATGGGACCCTAAGCCCAGTAACTAACCTTCTGCTCTATAAAACAAGCAGAAAACCTGTGCTCATTTGTCCGTTTATTTAGTTAGTTCTTCATTCATTCCTTTATGTAATGAGCACTTATAAAATGTTTACTCACTTTGTAAATATTAACTCATTTAACCCACCTCAGAGGGTGGTGAAGAGTAAATGAATGCGTACAAGGCAAGCATTTAAAACAGGACCAGTCGCATTGTGAACACTCAGTAAATGTTGGCTGTCAATTATTATAATATTAATTATTATAGGATAATAATATGTAAGATGATAAAAATTATGAGAAATTATTATGAGAATAATATTATTTATAATAATGATAATATGGGAATTATTATTACTATTATTTAAAATCAAAAACTTTAATTCCCCAAACTACCTGGTCTACTATATGTAGTGGAATTTATATGCCATGGAAGTTCTGTTCTGAAGTCTAAGTTAAAGGCACCGTGTTTGGGGCAAGCTGCACCCCTCCCTAGAGCCCAGCACAGGAGGATGCACCCTCTGCACCCCTCCCTGACAGCCTAGCACAGCCAGTTCCCTCCAGTGTAGAAACAGAACTGTTTCTCTGGTTGAGCATCAAATGAAATTGTTGGCTTGCATTGTCTTAAAGAAAATCATGTTCCATCATTGTTGTTGAATATGTATCTGTACCTGTGCCATGACTCTTCTATAAGGCACATGGCCTGCAAGTGTCAGGTGACGGAAAATAGACTGACGCCCTGTGGGTTTAAACTGCATCTTAGGAGCCCCAGGGGCTTGGTAATCCATTGGGTTACTATTCCTTCTGGAAGGTAGACGTTAGCGAAACCTCTGTCCCATCCTCTCTGTTGGCGTCCCCTTTGCTCTGGCACTCTGTTTCCTATCCCCTTCCTGGGGTAAGACTAACACACGGATACCGGGGTCTGGGGGTAGACTAACACGCTGATACCGGAGCCTGGAGGTAGACTAACACGCTGATACCGGAGCCTGGAGGTAGACTAACACGCGGATACAGGAGGCTGGGGGTAGACTAACACGTGGATACCAGAGCCTGGGCAACACTCCGGAAAGCACCCGCATGGCCCCTCCTTTTCCAGGAGGGGGAAATGGGACCACACAGACTTCAATGCCTCACCCCAGGTGCCCAGAGCTGGGCTGGAGCCCTTGATCCAATCGCAAGCCCCCTCCCGCCCACGGGCGCCCTTGGTACTTTATAGCTGTCCTCACTATCCTTCAGGGCTCAGGGGTACAGCCTCTCTCGCCAGCTGGAGCTGGAGCCCCTCAGACCAGGGCTCGGGGCTCAGTCCTCACACTTGCTCTGTGGCCAACCTGGATCCGCCAAGTGTGTGCGGTGCACGGGCCGTGGGTGACGCACTGCTGCTTTCATGTAGGTTCTGTCCTTACTCAGGCAGGAGGCCAGCAGACCAGCAAGCGACTGCACTGAAAAGACAGTTATTCACAGTGCCCATGAGGAAAAGGCTACTACACCACACAGGGCCCCTCGGGGACCACCGGGTCAGGCAGGAGGAAAGGAAGTGAGGGGAGCCCTGGGCAAGAGCCTTTACTGTGGTTTCCACAGGAAGACGTGGGCGAGGCAGGGGGGCAGGCTTGGGATTGGCTGCTTTGAATACCTTCAGTAGGCTCTGGGGGTAGAGGCTGTCCTCAGGTGTGGGGCACCTGGCCCTCGGGGAGCAGGACCTGGGAATACAGGCCCTGAGGGTGAGAGCCCGATACAGGTAGTGGTTGGGGTGACGGGCTCTGCATTGGATGGCTTGCCTACGAACTATGTGTCTGCAGGGGAGTAATTAGCCACCTTAGGAATTGGCCGGTTCTGGGAAAAGCAGTCTCTCCTGGGCCAACATGGCGCCAAGATGTCAGAGTATCATAGAACACAGAAAGTAAAACACACAGTCAGTACAACTGCCCATGGGCTGAAGTAGCTGGAGGGAGTGGGGCCGAAGGAATAACTAAGGGGGGAATAAAGAGGAAAATGTCCTGCAGCAAACGTGACACGACAAAGATGAGGCAGGAGCTTGGGGACCTTCGCAGGAGCTTGGCATGCTGGTACAAAGGCAAAGGCGGGGGGTAGGGGAGAGGGAGAGTATGGACCTTCTATAAACTGCCTCAGCCTGGGTTGAGGGGGACATAGAGAGGGATCTAAGAGAACTCAACCCCGAATTCTGAGCCTGCGCGAATAGAGGGGCCCTTGGGGGGTGAGGAGGGGGGCGTCCAGGCTCAGACCTGCTATTACCTTGGGAGGCACTTCACCTCTCCGGGCCGAGCCTCCCTCGGCCTCCTCCCGCCTTATAGAGCGGCTCTGTGGGAACTAGCAACAGTCCCCGCTCCGAGTGGACACGGATGGCAAGCAGCATGGCGCTCTGGCCTCCCCAGCATGAATGGTGGCCTTTACATTTTCTTCTGTCTGAAAGGGTTGTCTACGCTTTCTCTCTGCTCCTGGCTCTGGTGGAGCGGAGCCGCCTCATGAACGAAGCCTGGTGCTCAGAGCGCAACAGCGAGTAGCTCATGCGCCCCTTTCGGTGTGGCCAGGGCTGGTTTAAGCTCTTCATTCATGGGAACTCACTTTGTCCTCACAACGGTCTTGTGAAGTGGATACCGTCACTATATTTATGTTGCAGATGAGGAAGCTGTGGCATAAAAAGTGCAAGTTACACGGCTAGTACTTTCGGTGTGGCCAGGGCTGGTTTAAGCTCTTCACTCATGTGAACTCATTACGTCCTCACAACGGCCTTATGAAGTAAATAGATATCATCGTTATATTTATGTTGCAGATGAGGAAACTGTGGCATAAAAAGTACAAGTTACACGGCTAGTAAACAAGTTCCCAGGTTAGAATCCTCAGTGGAGAAATGATGGGGTTGGACTGGACGATTTCCATGGTTCTCTCTCATTGGAGATTCTCTGAGTTTCTGACACAGTTCCTCCTTGCTCTTAACCACTTCTTCCCCGAGAATCGCTCTCCACTAGGACTTCCGGGAATGATGGAGAAGTTGTCTATCTGAGCTGCCCAGGATGGTTTATACGTATGGGGCTGGCAGAGTCTCAAGGCAGAATTTTCTGGGTCCCCGTTTGGTTCGTGCCTGACCCAGGCTGGTGCCAAGAGTGACCACGTTGCCTCCCCACAGGGTCTGGTCCCTCTGGCTCCTCTTCTCGCCCCTCCCTTGCAGGTGCCCAATGTTTAACAGAGGACCACCCTGCATGCTGCTCCCTCCACCCCTGCCACAGCCCGCCTGTTCTCTCTGGGTTTCTTCCCCCATTGAATGCACAGCCTGCACATTTACATCTCTGTCCTTGAGTAGAGCTGATACCGGAGCCTGGAGGTAGACTAACACGCGGATACAGGAGGCTGGGGGTAGACTAACACGTGGATACCAGAGCCTGGGCAACACTCCGGAAAGCACCCGCATGGCCCCTCCTTTTCCAGGAGGGGGAAATGGGACCACACAGACTTCAATGCCTCACCCCAGGTGCCCAGAGCTGGGCTGGAGCCCTTGATCCAATCGCAAGCCCCCTCCCGCCCACGGGCGCCCTTGGTACTTTATAGCTGTCCTCACTATCCTTCAGGGCTCAGGGGTACAGCCTCTCTCGCCAGCTGGAGCTGGAGCCCCTCAGACCAGGGCTCGGGGCTCAGTCCTCACACTTGCTCTGTGGCCAACCTGGATCCGCCAAGTGTGTGCGGTGCACGGGCCGTGGGTGACGCACTGCTGCTTTCATGTAGGTTCTGTCCTTACTCAGGCAGGAGGCCAGCAGACCAGCAAGCGACTGCACTGAAAAGACAGTTATTCACAGTGCCCATGAGGAAAAGGCTACTACACCACACAGGGCCCCTCGGGGACCACCGGGTCAGGCAGGAGGAAAGGAAGTGAGGGGAGCCCTGGGCAAGAGCCTTTACTGTGGTTTCCACAGGAAGACGTGGGCGAGGCAGGGGGGCAGGCTTGGGATTGGCTGCTTTGAATACCTTCAGTAGGCTCTGGGGGTAGAGGCTGTCCTCAGGTGTGGGGCACCTGGCCCTCGGGGAGCAGGACCTGGGAATACAGGCCCTGAGGGTGAGAGCCCGATACAGGTAGTGGTTGGGGTGACGGGCTCTGCATTGGATGGCTTGCCTACGAACTATGTGTCTGCAGGGGAGTAATTAGCCACCTTAGGAATTGGCCGGTTCTGGGAAAAGCAGTCTCTCCTGGGCCAACATGGCGCCAAGATGTCAGAGTATCATAGAACACAGAAAGTAAAACACACAGTCAGTACAACTGCCCATGGGCTGAAGTAGCTGGAGGGAGTGGCCGAAGGA